CAGAGACGTTGTCGTCAGGAAGCAGGATGACTTCACCCACGTCTTGTTATCCACAAAATCATCGGAATAACTCACTAAATCCAGAGGTGACCAAAGAAGTCCAGAGTGCTCTGAGCATGGCTGCTGCCCATGACAGTAAGCTTGTGCTGCTCAGCACACGTGATGGCACCTCCTGTTGTGGTCTTGACTTTATTTATGCAGCATTTAACAGATGACAGAAAAAGAGAAAGCATTAAAATGGCAGAAGCTATCAGAAACTTTGTGAATACTTTTACTTAGTTTAAGATGCCTAGCCAGGCGTGGTGGCTCATGTCTTGAGGCTAGGAGTTTGAGACCAGCCTGTTTACACACACACAGGCACACACACACAATTAACAGGGCGTGGTGATACGCACTTGTGGTTTCAGCTACTCAAGAGGCTGAGGCGGAAGGATCACATAAGCCCAGAAGTTTGAGGCATTAGTGAGCTATGATCGTGCCACCGTACTCCACCTGGGTGACAGAGCAAGACCTTGTCTCAATTTTTTTAAAAAGCCTGTTATTGTAGCAGTCAGTGGTCCAGCCATTGTGCTGGGAGCAGTCACGCTGCCATTCTGGGACGTGGCTGGGACCCATGGAAAGGCTTGGCTTCGAACACCCGACACTGCCTTCGCAGAGTCTAGACGGCTCATGTGTTTTCCAAGATGACAGGAGGAGCACCTGCAAATGCAATGCCACTCAGTGGGCTTGTGGCAACGGTCTGGTCTCCAGGGGTTGTGGCCTGGAACTTTCACCCAAGAAGCCACAGTTCGGGTTAAGGCTCCTGTGCCTTGTGTCACCCAGCTGTGTGTGAGGAACCCAAAGCCCTCATGCGTTCACGCAAGGATGAGCTGAACAGGCCGGCCGAGGGAGAGTGAAGTGCAGCAGAAAGTTCAGCCCCACAGATGAACTCCGCACTTGAGAGGAAGATCAGTGAACTCTGGTCGGCCAGCTGTTTGCTGATGACACGGATGTACTGAGTGGCACATCACTGGCTCAAAGTTGCCCTAATACTTCGTCACAGCCAGAAACGAGTTTACCGGCAGCTCACGCGTGGAAGCAGATTGGAAACATCTAAGCTACCTCCTACCAAGGAGTTTTAAAGTATCGCAACTTTAGAATAAATACCCACAAAGACAGCTTCCTTGTCCAAACATCATTTTTTTGGTTTTTTTTTTTTGTTAGAGTCTCACTCTGTCGCCCAGATTGGAGTGCAGTGGCCGCTCCCGGCCACCGCAGCCTCGACCTGCTGGGCTCAGGCGATCCTTCCGCCTTAGCCTTCTGAGTAGCTGGAATTACAGGTGTGCGCTACCACGCCTGGCTAATTTTTTGATTTATTGTAGAGATGAGGTCTCAGCTGCCCAGGCAGGTCTCGAACCCGCGGGCTCAGGCAATCCACTCACCTCAGCCTCCCAAAGGCGCGGGATTACAGGCTGAGCCACCGAGCCCGGCCTAAACATCATTTTTTTATACTTATATACACACAAGCATAAAAGTATAACAGTGAGTACTAGACTGCTCTTGGAAGCTCCAATTTTTGTTTTCTTTGGCTAGCATTGTATAAAACCAGAATTGTGTCTTACTGGTTTTGGATAACAGAAACATTTGGAATAACGTGTGTTTTCCTCATTTTTTTTTCCCTTCTAGAACCCTTATTTCTCTAGAAAGTCTTATTTTTGTACAGTCTTTTTTTTTTTTTTTTTTTTGAGTTGGTGTCTCGCTGGAGTGCGGTGGCATGCTCACGGCCACCTCAGCCTCGATCTGCTGGGCTCCAGCGATCCTTCCACCTCAGCAGTCCAATTAGCTAGAACTACAGGCACACGCTACCACACCTGGCTAATTTATTTTACTTTATTTTACTGTAGAGACAAGGTCTTGCCAAGTTGCCTGGGCAGGTCTCAAATCCATGGGCTCAGGCGATCCACTCACCTCGGTCTCTCAAAGTACTGGGATTACAGGTTGAGCCACTGAGCCCGGTCATTTTTGTACAGTCTTGAAGATGATATGTAGAACTGGCCATCTCCCTGGCCACATGAAGAGCTGTACAGGGTGTAGTTCTGCCTCGATCCTGGCTTGACTGGTATGGTATTTTTGCATCTGTGGGGCCTACTTTCTCAATCAGTAGTTTGAACTGTATATAAACTGTATTAATCCGCAAAGTTTTTCTAGAATATTCAGCTTTGAAAACTGGCTAAATAAAACTAATATTTCTTTTTTTTTTTTTTTTTGAGTTGGAGTCTCACTCTGTTACCCAGACTGGAGTGCAGAGGCTGCTCCCGGCCACCGCAGCCTCAACCTGCTGGGCTCTGGTGATTCTTCCGCCTCAGCCATCCAAGTAGCTGGAACTACAGGCGCATGCTACCATGCCCGGCTAAAAACTAATTATTTCTAAGCAAGACTATGTCATAGGTAGATACAGTAGAGTATTATTCAGCTTTAAAAAGAAAGACAATCCTGTCACATGCAACAACATGGATACACCTGGGGGACATTCAGTGAAATGAACTAGTTACAGAAGGAAAAAGACTACAGGATTCCATTCATAGGCGCTATCTGAGGTAGTCAAACACATAGAAGCAGAAAGTTGGGTGTCGGTTGCCAGGGGTTGGGGGAGGGGAAGGCAGGGGTGCCATTCAATGGACACAGCACTTTAGTCATGCAGGAGGAGACAGTTCTAGAGATCTGCTATACAGTAATGTGCACACTGCTAACAATACTGTCCTGTACTGTTAGGAATTTGCTAAGAGGGCAGATCTCCCGCTATACATTTTCACTGCACACAGACACAAAATTTCTATGAGATGCAGTTAACTGGCACCTTGGAACAAGGCCTCTGAAGAGATATCAGACTAAATAAATGAGATAAGACATGCACAGAGTTTACAAGTTGTTTACCAAGCTGGTGGATTCTCTGAAAACAATAGCTTTATTTTAAATCAACCATACGAAACTGCCTTGTTGGTGATTCTTCCAACTATTAATCAAATGATTTGGTCATAGGCTCAATAAGTCTATTTGTGCAATTATTTTAGAGTCTGGATCTGCTGTATATTTTTACTTCAACAAAGCAAAAGGATCATCTCCAATAAATTAAGTGTAAAGTAATTTCAATTGCGCACGCACGCACATCTGTGTGTGTGTGTGTGTGTGTGTGTGTGTGTGTGTGTGTGTGTATGTGTGTCAGAGTCTCACTCTGTTGCCCAGAATGGAGTGGAATGGCACAGTCATGGCTCACTGCAACCTGGAACTTCTGGACTCAAGTGATCCTCCCTTCTCAGCCTCCTAAGTAGCTGGGACTACTAACAAATGCCACCACCACCAGCTAATTTTTTGATTTTTTTGTAGAAGCAAGGTCTCAATATGTTGCCCAGGCTGATCTCGAACTCCTTGGCTCAAGCAGTTCTCTTGCCTCAACCTCCCAAAGAGCTGGGATTGCAGGTGTGAGCCACCACACCTGGCCTGGTTTGCTTCTTTATTTAAGATATTATAGAATTAGATATAGATATTATAGAATTGAGTCTCACTCTGTCACCCAGGCTGGAGTACAGTGGCATACCCACAGCCACTGCAGCCTTGACCTGCTGGGCTCAGGTGATCCTTTCTCCTCAGCCTTCCAAGTAGCTGGAACCACTCCCATGCCCAGATAATTTTTTGATTTATTGATTTATTGCAGGTCTCAAACCCCAGAGCTCAGGCAATCCACTAGCCTCAACCTCCCAAAGTGCTGGAATTAGAGGCATGAGCCACCACACCTGGCTGGGAAATCTTTTAATTTAAATTACTAATGAATTTGTACAATGTGAAAATATAATTAACTATTTTGATTCCTATTTAAGAATGTATGTGTGTAAGTGTGTGTGTATAAACAAGTTTGTCTAGGAGAGATTCTTATGACAAATCCAAACAAAGACCTTTTAATCTTCTCTTAAATGCATTAGCAGCTAGATGCATAAAGACACTGTTTACTCTTATGGCTGGTTCAGTATTAACTAGTCTTGGTAAACTGCATGTTTATAAAACATGGCAAACACCTATTCACTTACCTCCTTAGCATGAACAACTTCTAAGTCAAACAACAAGAACTGGTCTCTAGTAATGGGATTTTCTCATGTTCATAGAAGTAATGAAACATATATGACTAAGTAATAAGCTTGTATTAAACTGAATGAGCTTAATATAGAAAATTCATATTATGGAATTAATCATGTCACTCTGGGTGACAGAGTGAGACTCCATATATGGAATTAATCATATATAAAAGATTCATTAGCAAAATTTTATTTTGCAATACCTATTCCTTGTTATTATAAAGATATAACCTGATCCAGGAAGAAATTTAACAGATAGCTGTGCTTTTTAGAAATCAATTATCTATTATACAAGCCCATCCACCTGCAGTACAATGAAAGCACCAAGATAACTTTTTATTTTTTTGAGTTGGAGACTTACTCTGTGGCCCTGGCTGGAGTACAGTGGCCCGCTCCTGGCCACCGCAGCCTCAACCTGCTGGGCTCCAGAGATCCCTCCGCCTCAGCCTTCCAAGTAGCTGGCACTACAGGCACACACCACCACACCCAGCTAATTTTTGATTTATTGTAGAGATGAGATCTCGCCAAGTTGCCCAGGCGGGTCTCGAACCCGCGGGCTCAGGCAATCCACTCGCCTTGGCCTCCCAAAGTGCTGGGATGACAGGCTGAGCCACCAAGCCCGGCCCAAGGTAACTTCTTTACACTGTGAATGGTTATAGGAGGTCCTGTGAATCGAATGTTGTCTACTTCATCTATGCCAGTGTCTTTGCACTTGTCCTGATGTTAAAAGTAAAAGCTCACAGTACTCACATAAAGAGCCATGTCAGAATTTTGGTACAATTACTGCGGCTGTAATAAAACTATAACACACACACACACACACACACACACACACACACACACACACACACACACACACACCCCCCCCCCAAACAGATCCCCTTTAAATTGATGAAGAAAAGTAACAATATAATTTATTTAAAAAAATACTTCCAAGACACTTTTCTTGATTAAATCTGTGAGCATGTCATTTTTCCTGCCTCCTTAAAAGGCTCTTCAAATTATCAGTGAAGTTTCTTCTATCTAGTTGCATGAGCTCTGTCACGTGATGTCACATGCTGGTCAACTGCATGAACAGGGTGGTTGCTTACATAAACCAAATGCCAAAAATCCTGGAGTTATTATCAAAAGGGTGGTAGTTGAGGATTCTATTCTGCGAGTTTATGGAACTCCACAAAAAGCATTCTACTTAGGACAGGTACATTTTCTTTCTATTAAAACCAGCATGAGGCAAAGTATTTGAGTGAAACCAAATAACACAAAAGTACAACTCTTAGAGGGAAAAAAAGCTGACGTTTACCAACAGGTTTGGGGAGATGACACACCAACACTTAAATGATGCAATCCATCACATGAATCTGCAACGTGTCTATGTCGGGGAGAACCTCTCCGCATTTGGGGCAAGAATGAAGCGGAATATTCTGTTGCTGCGGCCAGCTTCTATCCTCAGCTCCTGGGAGTAAACATGACATGAAATATTATTCCATGAGTTCCAGTTTTCAGGCAGTTTTGTTTGTTTGGTTTTAAGAACAGATGGCTAATTTTAACATGCGTTGAGCTCTGGAACCAATACCCAGAGGGACTTGATTGAACACGGTGTTTGGTCTTTAGCCGAAGCCGTCACTATGCACACAGAGGAAATCTCCCCTAACAGTATAAGCTTCCCTATTGTTTTAGGATTTAAACTCTGTGTGTGAAAATACCTGGTTTCAGTGCTAGGGACAGGACGATACACGTTCTAGCAAACACCAGAATATGTGAGAGAAGAAAATGGGTGAATGCATATAAGCAAAAGAGGGACAGAATGTGGAGAAAGGAGTCCAGAGAGACCGGGAGAGATCTCCGAGCACACAATGAACCTTCTCAGAAGCAGAGGCAACAATTCCGCTCACTCAGCAGATACGTTTGAGTCTTTCAGGATGTGTACGAGATGCTGCTGTGTGCAGGGAGCTAGACACGTGGTAGAGAAGTCAGGCTTGAAAGCAGCAGCCGTGGCGGCATGGCAAGGTGGGTGTTAGGCGCAAGGGGATTCCATGGGCATAAGAGAAGAGCTCCTGGCTCAGACCTGGCCCAGAAAGCCTCCTCGGGAAGGAACAGGAGTTAGACAAGCAGTCAGTGGGGAGAGACAACTGAAGAATGTGTCCCATCACTTCCCTCAATTTTGGAGTTGTGCTGAGATTCACATCTAAATGAGAAAATGCTTGGAATAAGCCCCGACTCTGGGTAGGACCTGGAACAATACAAACTGTGATCAAGGCAGGAAGTTACTTCTGTCTCCTGGCATCTCTCTGATTTGATTCTTCTGAACCAAAATGAACCATTTTGGTTTTTCATTTTCAATTTTTTTTTAGACAGGGTCTTGCTCTGTTGCCCAGGCTGGAGTGCAGTGGCGCAATTATGGTTCACTGCAGCCTCAAACTCCTGAGCTCAAGTGATCCTCCCTCTTCAGCCTCCTGAGTAGCTGGGACCACAAGTACATGCTACCATGCTTGAGTCATTTTAAAATTTTTTTGTAGAGACCTGGTCTCACTATGATGCCCAGGCTGGTCTCAAACTCCTGGGCCCAAGCCATCATCCTGCCTTGGCCTCCCAAAGTGCTGGGATTACAGGCATGAGCCACTGCACCCAGTCAATAAGGGTTTTTTGTTTGTTTATTTGTTTTAATGGAAATAGGTATTAGCCTTATATTGTTACAAAGAAGAAAAACCTTCCCCTAAGAAATCCAGGTGCAAGAGGTTGTCCTTTTAGACTTAGGACAATCTTGTAGGGTACTTTCAGGAATCAGGACATAGGTATTCCTAAATATTTAAAATCAGGCTGGAGACAATGCCTGGCAGCACTCAAGTGGGCAAGGGTAGCTTTCAGGGAAGCACACAGCTCCACCGGCTACAAGAAAAGTGCCTGAGGCTAGTGTTTATATTAGGCCATGGATCATATTATGTCTATTTGTCACCTGAATAACTACCTCTAATATCTACTTTAACCTACTTTTTCCTGTAAGAGAACATTGGTGGGTGGGAGAAGGTAACAGATCCTCAAAGAAATTTCCCTGAGATTTAACAGTTTGCTATTCTATGCAGTACCTGGGCTATTTGACCTTTACAGTTTTGTCTCCTATAAGAAGGCACTAATAGGTCCCTGGTGGTCTAGTGGCTAGGATTCGGTGCTCTCCTATAAGAAGGCACTGATATATCAGGGGTGCCAAAAAAATGTATACACATCTTAAGAGATTTTTAAAAGATGTTTGCCCTCATCAGAAGTATCTGGACGCTGATGGTAACCACTTCGAGCACCTCTTGTAACTGTTGAAGTCAAACATGACTTGTATTCATCTTTTATCATGGGTAAATATTGTGTACTACAATTTTAATACAGTTTCCTGTCTTAAAATGTGTATACACTTTTTGGCACCCTCTGGTATATACCTCCTGGAATTTTGTGAGGCTCAAACGAGATAATACTTATGAGGTGAGATCAGCACCGTGTCGGCACATAATACACTCTATGTAAACAGTAACACAAGCATGTGTCTAACACCATGCATGAAGATATATGCCCTGTGGAAGCTTGTCATTTAATAAAGCACTGAAACACCTATTTAATATACAAAAACACTTCTTTTTTTTTTTTTTTTTTTTTGAGTTGGCGTCTCACTCTGTCGTCCAGACTGAAGTGCAGTGGCCGCTCCCGGCCACCGCAGCCTCTACCTGCTGGGCTCCGGCAATCCTTCCTCCTCAGCCTTCCAAGTAGCTGGAACTACAGGCATGCACTACCATGCCCGGCTAAATTTTTGATTTTATTGTAGAGATGAGGTCTCACCAAGTTGCCCAGGCGGGTCTCGAACCCGCGGGCTCAGGCAATCCACTCATCTCAGCCTCCCAAAACGCTGGGATTACAGGCTGAGCCACTGAGCCCGGCTACATAAACACTTCTTATATAAAATAAAATAGCAGGTATTAAAACAGAAGTATAAGATACTTTGAAAGTTCAGGAAGAGGACGATTTATGGAGATGAAATTTGAAATGTGCTATAAGGAAGGGGTAAGACACTACTAGGTATCTACCCAAAAGAGCAGAGGTCGTCATACACAAATGTCACCTGCACCCACATGCTTATTGCAGCACAGTTCACAAGTGCAAGAGATGTGGAATCAACCTAAATGCCCATCAACCGATCAGTGGATAATGAACATATGGCATATAAACACCACAGAATACAATTCGGCCATCAAAGAGAATGAAATCGCCAGGTATGGTGGCTCATGCCTGTAATCCCAGCACTTTAGGAGGCCAAGGCGAGAGGACTGCCTGAGTCCAGGGGTTGGAGACCAGCCTGGGAAACTTGGAGTGAGACCCTGTCTCTACCATAAATCAAAAAATGAGCCAGGCATGTGGCACACACCTGTAGTTCCAGCTACTTGGAAGGCTGAGGTGGAAGGATCGCTTAAACCCCGCAGGTTGAGGCTACAGTGGCCATAAGCATGCCACTGTACTCCAGCCTGGGGAATAGAGTAAGATTCTGACTCAAAAAAAAAAAAAAAAAAGAATGAAATGAATCATGTCTTTGGCAGCAACTTAGATGGAATCAGAGACCATCATCCTAAGAGACATAACACAGGAACAGAAAACCAAACACAGCATATTCTCACTTTTAAGTGGGAGCTAAAATAAGAATCTGCAAAGACACAGAGTATGGCATCATGGACACTGGAGACTCAAAAAGAAGAGGGTGGGAAGCGGTAGAAGGATGAAAAATCACCTACTGGGGACAGTATGTACAGGAGGGGTGCAATGGGTACACTTAAACGTCAGATTTCTTCACCATCATACAATGCCACCAGGTAACTGAAAACTAATTGAACCCCTAAAGCCACTGAAATAAAGAAAAAAAAATTAAATGGCTATTTTATTCTTTTCTTTCTTTTTTTTCCCAATAGAAATGAGGTCTTGCTATGCTGCCCAAGCTATTGAAATAAAAAAATGAGATGCAGAAAAGAATAGATGGGGTAAGAGTTCCTTGGAAAGAGACAGGAAGGAGACAGGAGTGGGCCTAAGAGAAGGGCATTGATGTGACATTGCAGATGTACGCAAGGCTTAGGACAAGTCGAGGGGATGTCCTGGCCTGGCTGACATCTGTAGGAGAACAGAATGAGATAAGCTGAGCAGTCTGGCATGCCAGGTCCTATCTGGCAGGGTGAAGGGTCTGGTCTGGACTCAGTGACTGATGGATGAAGACGAGACTATGGGTGCTACATTTTCAGTAGCTTGACTTGGAATCCACTGTACAGAATATAGTGGACTTTTTCGTCAAGCCTCTTCTTCATAGGACATTGTCATTCCCTGAAAACCCAGATTCATGCTGCACTCACCTCTTTGAACAAGGTAAGCCTGCTGGTCGGGGTCACTTGTTCTCGCTCCATGACGACTCTGCATTTCCATCAAAGACTGCCTACTGGAATGAAAAGCAACACTATATGTGATGTTCTACCACACTGAAACATGACAACACTAAGCAGACAGTCAACATAAGTATTTTTTTAAAAAGTCAAACTACAATGCTAAAACCACAGTTCATGAAACTTGGTTTTATGGTTCAGAACTTGAGACTAATTTGAGTTCTAAATAATATTGGCAATAGAATAATGTGTAGTAAAAGCAAATGATTAAGACTTTTAAAAATCAGTTAGGAAATAACAAAACTGTCATTGATAGGAAATGGATTAGAGAAAAGTAGCATATTTCTAAGCCAGGCGTGGTGGCTCATGCTTATAATCCCTTTGGGAAGCAGAGGCAAGAGGATTGCCTGAGTCCAGGGGTTCAGGACCAGCCTGGGCAACTTGGTGAGACCTTGTCTCTACAATAAATAAATAAAAAAAATTAGCTGGGTATGGTGGCATGTGCCTGTGGTTCCTGCTACTTGGAAGGCTGAGGCAGAAGGCTTGCCTGAGCCCAGAAAGTCGAGGCTGCAGTTGCTGTGAATATGCCACTGCACTCCAGCATGGGCAACAGAGTGAGACTCCTACTCAAAAAGAAAAAACAGAAAAAAGTGGTATATTTCTAAATCATGACACTACACAGCAATTAAACACAATGAATTAAATCTGCATATATCAACACTGACGGAGCTCAGGATCACAATGTTATGCAGAGCAAGTTGTGCCAGGCTTGATGGCTCAGCCTATAATCCCACACCTTGGGAGGCTGAGATGAGTGGATTGCCTGAGCCCACGGGTTTGAGACCCGCCTGGGCAACGTGGCGAGACCTCATCTCTACAATAAATAAAAAAATTAGCTGGGTGTAGTAGCGCGTGCCTGTAGCTCCAGTTACTTGGAAGGTTGAGGCGGAAGGATCGCCGGAGCCCAGCAGGTCAAGGCTGCAGTGGCCGGGAGCGGCCACTGCACTCTGGTCTGGGTGACAGAGTGAGACTCTAACTCAAAAAAAAAAAGCAAGTTGCAGGACAATATCTATAGTGGTCACTTTGTAACCTAAACATAGAAAAATTAATAGTATCTTGTCTTAAGATATTATATAGGGGTGTGTGTGTATATAATTACAAGTAAAAGTATAAGAAACGTAGGGAGGCTACTGACCAAATTCCTGGTAGCACAAGGTAAGAAAGGAGAGAAGTACCACGAAGGATGGGGAACAAAGGAGAATCCAACTTTATCTTTGATTTCCTTTTATCCCTTTCAAAAAAATTATTATTTATTGTAGAGATGAAGTCTCGCCAAGTTGCCCAGTCTGGTCTTGAACCCTTGGGCTCAGCAATCCTCTCACCTCCATCTCTCAAAATGTTAGGATTACAGGCGTGAACCACTGTGCCTGGCTTTTCCCTTCTGTCCTTTAATTAAAAAAAAATACTTGAAGCAAATTAAAAATAAGTTAGCAACTGCTAATTCAAGATGGAGTATATACTGGTGTATATTATTTTATTCTTTGTATTTTACTATATACATATATAATTTTTTTTTTTGAGTTGGAGTCTCTCTCCGTCGCCCAAACTGGAGTGTAGTGGCACACTCATGGCCACCCCAGGGCTGACCTGCTGGGCTCTGGCAATCCTTCCACCTCAGCCTTCCAAGTAGCTGGAACTACAGGCATGTGCTACCATGCCCAGTTAATTTTTTATGTTATTGTAGAGACGTGGTCTCGCCAAGTTGCCTGGACTGGTCTCGAACCTGAGGGTTCAGGCAATCCACTTGCCTCGGCCTCCCAAAGTGTTGGGATTACAGGTTGAGCCACCGAGCCCGGTCTGTCTGTATTTACTATATTTTAAAAGCTTTCTTTTCTTTTCTTTTCTTTTTTTTTGAGTTGGAGTCTCACTCTTGGTACCCCAGGCTGGAGTGCAGTGGCATGCTCACAGCCACTGCAGCCTCGAGCTGCTGGGCTCAGGCGACCCTTCCGCCTCAGCCTTCCAAGTAGCTGGAAATCCAGATGTACACCACCAAGCCCAGACACCATTTCTGTGATTTATTGTAGAGGCGAGGTCTCACCAGGTTGCCCAGGCTGGTCTCGAATCCCCGGGTCAGGCAATCTTCTTGCCCCGGCCTCCCAAAGTGCTGGGATTATAGGCTGAGCCACTGCGCCCAGCCTAAAGCATTCTTTAAATAAATTTTTAGGCTGAGTGCAGTGGCTCCTGCCTGTGATCCCAATCCCAGCACTTTGAGACGCCAAGGAGGGAGGATTGCTTGAGTTGAGGAGTTCGAGACCAGCCTGGGCAACATAGTGAGACCTTGTCTCTACAAAAAAAAAAATTAGCCAACATGGTGGGGTGTGCCTATTTGGGAGGCAGAGGTGAAAGGATCGCCTGAGTCCAGGAGGTTGAGGCTGCAGTGAGCTATGATCATGCCAATCAATGCACTCCAGCCTGGGCAACAGTTAGACCCTGACTCAAAAACAAATAAATAAATGAAAACATATATATATATATATATATATATATATATATACATACATACATTTTTAAAGGTGAGAAGTAATTTTTAGCAGTATTTTCTTTAAAATCATGTTGGAGAACTTAAAATGTTATGAACATTTCATTCATGACAATGGCAAGACAAGTCACTGGGGTGCATAATGTTATGTTTTTACAGCTTATCTAAAAGCCAGAAATTTGATTGGGTTCCCACAAGTCTCAGTCAAGCTTTGCCATGAGACAAAATAAGTGCTGGACACATGACCAAGTAAAGTATACATGGAGCGATTCTTATAGAGCAAATGAGGAAACACTTATCACAGGTCACTTCTTCCACAGCCCTGCTGATGTGAGTTCTGCCTCTCCCTCTCTTTTAACCTCACCTGCCACCATCCTCAAAAGCATTGTTCTCTTTCAGCAAAATTGCCAGCTGCAATGCCAGCTGCTCCTTTTCTTCATGAATCTTCTCTCTTGCTTCTCTTTCTGCATGAAAGTCAGAACAGTAAACCTCCATCTGTTAGAGGAAAAAAGACTCAGAGGTTAGTAACCTAGACGAATGTGGATTCTCTCTAGCTCACCTGTCTATGAGGTGAAGAGGTAGTGATGTGTCCTTTGTGAGTCACGGACACATATTCCTGTTGGAAACCAGTAAAATGACCTCAACTTCCCAAGTACGTTTCAATAGAAGATATGAATAAATAGAAAGATATCCTGTGCCCATGAACTGGAAGAATTAATATTGTTAAAATTTCCATACTACTCAAAGTCATCTACAGATTCAATGAAATCTCTATCAAAACACCAGTGACACTCTTCACAGAAATAGAAAAAAAATCCTAAATTCATATGGACTCACAAAAGATACCCAAAGAGCCAAAAAACAATCAAAAGCAGAAAGAACAAAGTCGAAGGTATCATATTACTTGACTTGAAAATATACTACAAAGCCATAGCAACCCAAATAGCATGATACTGGAATAAAAATAGACACATAGACATGCCTGGGCATGGTGGTTCACATCTATAATCCCAGCACTTTAGGAGGCTGAGGTGAAAGGGTTGCCTGAGCCCACGGGTTCGAGACCAGCCTGGGTAACTTGTTGAGACCTCATCTCTACAATAAATAAAAAATTAGCTGGGCATGGAGGCGTGTGCCTATAGTTCTGGCTACTTGGAAGGCTGAAGTGGAAGTGGCCTGAGCCCAGCAGGTCGAGGCTGCAGTGACTGTGAGCATGTCACTGCACTCTAGCCTAGGTGACAGAGTGAGACTCCAACTCAAAAAAAAAAAAGACATATAGTGAAAGGCACAGGGAACAGCCAGAAGGACGTCTCCCAAGATGGCACCAACCCTATAGGGAACCTAACAAAGACAACAAAGGCC